CAGGCTGTCCAAGAACTCTGACCACAGAAGCACCAGCCCCACCAAAGTGGAAGGAGGCAGAGGGAGAGATAGGAAACTTGTTAGCAGGCTGTCAACAGGCTTTTAGGGACTGGAGGGAAAACCACCAAGAAGGACAAGATAAGGACAAGATGAGAGTTCTTGGCCGTTTGTGTCTTGTAAAATGACATAGGCAGATTGAGTAGCTTGGGGCTAACTCCAGCCTTGGGTTTAAACTCAGACCCTTAATTAGGCTGTCTGGATCTGTTTTAACATCATGTCAAGGAGTCCAAGATTGTGAGTTGGAGCCGTGACTGGAAACAAAACTCTGTTCCCTATGCTGAGCTCTGCTTAGCCTCTGTCAGCTGCTTAATGGGAGAATGATCTAGAGAGAAAATAAATGGGCAAATGAGGGAATGTTACAAAACAAAGGCTGCCTGAAACACCCCCAGACACACGTCCTATTAAGTGGATCATTTGAGTCACCTCCACTTACGAAGACAAGACATACTCACAGACTGTTTCTTAGCCATGGAAAGGGCTCACCTACATTTTTCATTATGTCCATAAGCAGAAGTAACTGAAGTTTACTCTATGTTCTTGAAGGTCAGTGCATTCCACTTAGAACCTTGTGCACCCTCAGTTCTTTAGATGCTTTTTCAAAGTTCCTCTGCAGCACTGACTTTGTTTTCTGTAGGATTAGGTTTGGTGAAAGCTTCAATTCATGCCTTGGAAATCTCTCTAGGGGCCACAGAGATCTTTTTATCTTAGCTTCCATCATTTGTTCATGCAATACAGAAAGAAGGGCAGTGACTATATTTTGAACATGATTAGCTTGTAAAAATATGGCCAGTTTGTTAGAATCTGACCAACCATCTTGCTACTCATCGGGTTTTATATCTGGAGAACCAGGCAAGGCATTCTCAGCTGTTTCATCCCCAAGATTTCTTGGAAGAACATAAAAAATTTCAGGCTAGAAATGACCTTAGCAATCATCTGCCTCAACCTTTTCATTTTACTGCTCAGGAAAGTAAAAGCCAGAGCATGATCATAACTTGAAAATTGGGTGTTAAGTCTTTGACACTGTTGCTGAAGTCTCATCGGTCTGCCCCCCCTCCCCAGATTCTTATCAAGACCTGGACCATGAGGGCCAGCCTCGTTTTCCTCTCCCATTTCCTAACCCTAAAGTGACAGGAAAGTCGCAGGTTCCTCAAGACCTTTAAGGCTCAGGCAGTGTTGAATACCTGATTATACTGGCTCATGTGATCACAGGGTGTCAAAATGCATTCACCAAACTTTTGTCTTTCCAGAAACATCTCCCAGTCTTTTGAGCAAATGGTGTGTTCTCAATGCATTCATTTTTTCTTCTCATTTGAAAAGTTCTTCCTGAGTTCCCAGCTCTAGTGGTCAGTTCATGGTCTGGCCCGTCACCCTGAGCCTTTGGGAGGGGGTACTTTCTACAGGTATATAGGCTTATGCTTTAGGCTGGACTTCATCACCTAAAATGTCTCCTTTGTTCTCTCTGGTGTGAGTTTTTAAAAAAAAATGGTGGAGTAAGAGGATGATTGTCCTTGAGCTATACGATTTGTTTCTGTTCTAGCACACATACCCCTCACCAAAGTTGGAAGAATTATGCACTGTAAATTACCCTCAGATTTCCTGTTATTTAAATAAAAGAAACTTCAGTCTTTCTCTTTTGGGGGGGATGTAGGGTGGGGATGGAGGCTGTTGCTAGATTCTAAGCTCTGTGGGTCAGGCTTGGGCAGGGGTTGGTCCCCAGCAAGAGATAAAGGAATGAATGGAAGCATTATTCAATAAGAAGCTTGTGGTTTAGAAAATCAACTACTGAGGCCTTGGCATACAATTCTACATCGGGCACCGAGACTTCCATGATTCCCAATCATCACTGAAGAGGTGTCATGTGCAGAGAACCTGAGAATGGATCCCCAACTTCCTGTCCTAGCCTTGAGATGTACTGTATAAATTATGAGAAGGCAGCTTTTTAAAAATAAAAGGAAAAAAAATAAAAAATAAAAGGAATCAATGTTGATTTGATCCATTGTCAGAGTTAACTATGAAACTTGACTAAGATCAACAAGAGCTAGTAGCAGGGGTGCCTGGGTGGCTCAGTCATTAAGCGTCTGCCTTTGGCTTGGGTCATGATGTCGGGGTCCTGGGATCGAGCCCCGCATCGGGCTCCCTGCTCCGCGGGAAGCCTGCTTCTCCCTCTCCCACTCCCCCTGCTTGTGTTCCCTCTCTCACTGTCTCTCTCTGTCAAATAAATAAATAAAATCTTAAAAAAAAAAAAAAAAAGAGCTAGTAGCAGATCTGGGCCCGTGACGATCCCTCCTTGTCCCCAGTCCTTTTCCTACTACATCAGACAGTCTTGCCAGTGACTATCAATCACGGTGAGGCAAAGTCAAGTTCTGGGACAATGAGGTCCTCATAGACCTAGAATAGAGATAAAAGATACATGGTATATAAGCCATGACACTTCCTTCCAGTGCCTGAAGGAGATGTCACTAACCATCATGACACTTTCCCCATTGAGTCTCAACAGGACCTCAGGGAGCCACTACCAACCAAGCAAAGTTGGCACTTGAGATGAAACCTATCTGCAATCCCTGTTCTAGAGGAAATACGGATTTCACAAGCCAATGAACTCTGGTCTTGACCTGTCTTCTCAAGATGAGTTGAACCTCCAGCCAGGAACCTCACACCTTTTATGGCTCTTCACCGTCCTCACATCCCCGAAGGACTTAGAGGCGATGTCATAAGAAGGTTTTCAAAAGCATGGGTCTGCCAGACAGAGCGGATGCAGTGATTAGTCATGACTCCAAGCCAGGCACGGTGATTAAGAAAAGCTAAATTTATATTAAATTATCATAAAGTCCTAAAATACTGAACATAGTGGTTAAATAACTCCAGAAAGTCCAATCTCTCCAGTGAGTAACGTTAAAACCATTACACATGAGCGCGGGAGAATCACTTCCATTAGTTTAGGACAGAGAGGTTTTGCTTTTTACATAGTGTATCAGTGCTCAAATAGATATTTCTTCAAATATGTCTTTTCTACATTCTGAACAGCCCAAGTGCAATAAGATCTTTCCCCCTTTCCAATCAAGAATTTGCCACTTTCCTACTTTCTCCCCATCCTCAACCATGAGTCTGAGGACCCAAAGTGCTCCTTTTTTAACTGCCCCGTCAAGTGTGAAATGTCTCCCTTCCCTCCCATAAGTGGCACCTCTCTTTTCCCACTGTGTGTGTGTGGACTGGAACAGACTTGCTGGCCTGGCTAGGCTGTCCTGTGTGGGCCCAGACCTGGGTTGGCTACTACCAGCCCGGCTCAGGGCTTGGCACCTGTCTCTAGCAGCCTCAGAACTGACCAGAAAAGCTTTGCTCTTCTCCGTTTTCACTCACATGTGTGGCAGCTGATTTCTCAATACTGATAACCACAGGAGATGTTTCCAATCAGGAAGCTTCCCCGGGAAGCCCTCGCCTCTATTCCCAGCCCGTCGCCCTCTCCTGTTGCTTCCAGTTCCTGGGTGGAAGGGTCTGGATCTGCCCTAGGCTGAGAGGGCTTCATCGGTGGTTCTCCCTTTCTACTCCTTGCCCCCAACTCTGCGTCTTGATGTAGCCGTCTCCTCACCACCACAAGGCTAAGTCAGAAAAAGCAAATTGGGGGTGGTGGTGGAGGGGGCTTGTAGAAGGCTTAGGGCAGACAAAAAGTCTCCACTCTCCTGATCCTAGCAGGAGACAAACGGTCTTTGTGTGAACGAGCATGAACCAAGTGATGGCATCACGGCCTGGGAAGTCCATCACTTAGCTGGGAAGAGAGTTGGAATGGGAATGTCACCACCCCTAAAGCCACAGGTTCTCTGTCCACTAACTTAGATCCCTGAGCACTTGAGAGAGAACACAGAACCTCATGGATACTTCCCTTGAGGCCCTGCGTGCCCCAAGTCTATAACCCAATCTCTCTTCCTGACCCTTTATGAAAACTCTTGGCCCTTGTATGAAAGGTGTTTCAGGATCTCTAGGCTTAGAATCCCGGGGAATGAGTGGGGAGAGAGTGGCAGAACGTTAAGGTTCAGGTGATATGCTACTTTTGGTCTAAGCAGCGCTGATTGGACCTTGCAGAGACTCAGCGCTCGGGGGCCCCACATTCCTTAAGCCCCTGCTCACAACCTGGTTACTTAGAGTCAAAGACATAAGGGTACTGGCCAGTGGTGGCACCAGCAGGGGAATTCATATTAGCCAGCTGCCATGCGATAAGGACCCTGTCATCGGGGTAGAAGCTTCCAGACACTCTAGCGGGAGGAAGAACAGCTTGAGCCACACCCAGATCTCACCAATATTGGCAGCTGAAAAAAAAAAAAACAGTAGCTCTTAGGGCAAGAATAATATCCATTGCCAGCAATGGACAGGACATGCAGCCCAACCACCCCTAAAAGCTTGCTCATATTACCAATGCACTTGAGGCTAGAGGCTTCCGAGACACCCATACCAGCTGGGCTTACTCCTCTTTCCTCTTTCAGCCTCTTTCCTTCATCTCTCTCTTTACCCTTGACCCCTGCCCCAGCCCCTGATGGGCAAGTTCTCTCAGAGAAGTGGCCAGGCCGCCTCTGCTGGGGGAGAGTGAGGTCTTGGATCATCAGTTCTCGTGGGGCAGGGTACCAGGGAAAGGGGAGGTGGAGCTCTGTACTGATGAGGAATCATTCCCGAGCCTTGTTTCGGGGGCTCAGGAGGGAGTGCAAGAGGTGAGGTTCATGGTAAAATCCAGGTCCAAATTTTCGGGATGCACCATCATTTCTTGCGCACGGGTAGTTACGGACTCAGGTGGAAACAGCTCCCGTGGAGGGCTCGGGAGCAGTTACACGGCGGGAGGTGGAGGAGAAGAACGAGCAAGCACACAGGAAGGGGGCCTGTTGTCTAAGTGAGCACAAGGACCGGAAGTCCATAAAGGAGAAGGAACGGGCGGGGAGGGAAGGGACTGTGGGCGTTTAGACCTGGCTCTCTGAGGAGAGCTTGCGTTCATGTTTCCAGCCTGTGTCTGGCAGAGAGCCCCGTCTTTCAGGAGTGGCTGCGGTGTGGACGCTGCTACACTCGGACTGCTCTTCCTGCAACAGCTGCTCCGTCTCCGTGTCATCCAGGGAACCAGAGCTGGCCTGGAGAGACACTGTGTCCGTCTTCATGCATACATGATCACGCAGAAGGCCCCCCCGTGAGCTGCGAAGTTGCTTGAGGTCATCCCACTCAGCATCGTCCCCAGACAGAAGGCAGATTCCCTCTACAATCTTGATCTTCTCCTTGGTGTAGTTATGGTCAGGCCCGCCCTAGGGTGGAGAGCGGGGAGACACGGTCAGTCGGTTAGCTCTCTAGACAGGATCTCACGGTGAACCGGAAAAGGGAGCGAATGGGCTGAGAGGAGGTGTGAGGAGCACAAAGACCCCACAAACGAATGGGAAGACTTGGTCAGAGCAAACAGATGAGTCAGCCTAAAAGAATAGCAGCAGGATGATTATCCCCATTCTCAGACAGGAAGGAGGGAGAACCATGGCTTCCAGGCCTGCATCATCCACTCACTGGCTATGTCACCTTGGGCAAATTATTCAGCATCTCTAAACTCAGTCTCCACATCTACAATGTGGGGAGAATAACAGTAGCCACACCTCATAACCAATCACTGTGAGGGTTCAAAGAGGAGACACATGGAACACAGCTAGTAGGTGCTTCCTGTTAGCTGTTGTTACATTGTTATTGTGGCTTATTAAGGGGACATCATGCTGATATATACATGATCAAGAGCAATGGATAAAGGCAATTTGATGTGCATTTATTCAGGATTTTAAACTACTTCTGGGCTCTTTTATTCTTGATTCTCTTCTTTCTAATTTTGTTAAGGAGAAAACTTGTGGGAGGTCAGAAAGGAGGGATCTAGAAAATCTTCTTCTTTGGGTTCTGAGTGTCAATCCATTGGGGTCCCGTAACCTATAACCTTTCTGGGGAGGTTACTCTGGCTCTGCTCCCACAAGCCTTGGGGCCATTCCCAAGCAACCTGGGATTGGTCCAAGGACAGCCTGAAGTTCTACTCAGGCTTCTCCCTTTATGGATTTCTCAAAGGGTAGGCTTACTTCTGGTTTCTGGGGAATACCAACCAACATGCCACCGGTACCAGGAGAAAACGGGCCATGGCTTAGGTTCTGTCCTGGGACGGCGTTCCTGCCAAGAGTTCTATAAGTGCTCCTCTATTTTAGTAACAACTCAACTCCACAGATATTTACCTGAGCCCCTACAATTTTTTTTAAAGATTTTATTTTGGAGTCATCTCTATATCCAACATGGGGCTCAAACTCACAACCCTGAGATCAAGAGTTGCACGCTCTCCTGCCTGAGCCCCTACATTAAACAGGAGACTTTGATGATGGCCCTCTAGGAGTGGTATCTCCCTCCGCAGAGCAGAGACAGACAGCACACAAGTGCACACGCATCACACCCTCTGAGCTGAAATTAGCACCAGATTACACGGAGCCATGCAGTGTCTTCATCACAGAGACACGCTCGGTAGGTTAGGAAGAGGTAGGGGACATGGCACTGGCAATTCGGGGGGGGGGGCACCCTTCCCTCTCCAAACACACCGCAACAGGTACCTGAAATCAGGAGGAAATCAGAAGAGAAAGGGTGAAAGACTGTCAGAGGGGTGAAAGAGCGGCTGAGGAAAAGCACACAAAAGAAGAAAGAGGTCACACTTTTCAGGTCTAACCTAGGACCCTTATGACGGTTCTTCTGTGGGGCATCAAACACTCTAGGCACCTAAGACTCAGAAGTCTTTCTCTCAAAGATACTAATTGAGGAGGGCTCTACCATCCCTAAAACTGCAAACTAGCCCTGCAGGTGGACTTTTAGCTTCCGGTGGAAGCTTTTTTAATATGGAAATTCATGGATCCAGAAAGCATGTGACTGTTATGTAAAATGTACTTATTACACAAGGGGGCCCTGTAGAGGTGAGGGCAAGTGTCGACTGTGCTAGACAGGCCAGGCGAGTAGACCAATTAGGGTTTCATAAGGGATATGACTTCTGATGAAACGTTAAAGGATTTTAGAAAAAGCAGGGGTCATATTAGACTAGGAAGATCTGAAATTGCAGGATACTGGTCCCTTGTGGAAATGGGACTACTTCTCAGGCCTAAACATTCAGCACATAAATTTTCACTGAAGCAACAGAGGAGTTAAGAGAGCAAAAGCATGTAAACCCCCTTCAGAATTCTAGAGAAATCTCTTAAGACTCTGTGATAAGAGGAAGAATAGCAAAACACTCAGCCATTCCCAGCCATAAGTGCCAACAGCTTCGATCAGAGGTTAGAAAAGGGAGAGTCCAGGAGCTCTCGGGTTTTTGGGGTGTTGTCTTGGAATCTGGGGTGCTTCAGAGGGGTATAGCCCCTCTGCAGGGGAATGATGGCTACAGGAGAGAAAACCTAGCCGGGGAAATTATTTCCTGGCAGGGAGGTACACACTCACATGCTTTCAGACCTAGACCTTCTGGAATCTGCTTACTAACCCTGCTCTCACTAAGATCCCTCAAGCTGGTCCCTTAGAGAGTCTAGATCTCTCCAGAATCCCATATCAGATTCAGTTCTTCTGTCCACTATAACTTCCAAAATGGTAGATGGGACTACCCAGCATCCCTCACTGTTCAGGCAACTGGAGCATATCCATCCCCCCTCCAAAAACAAAAAACAAAACCCCACCTTGAATATAAATTTCAATTTTTACCTCTTTCTTATAGCACAGTTGATTGTACATGGCTGGTTTGGGGATTGCTTCAATTTTCACTTCCTGAGTGGAAGTTCGGTAGGAGGGGTTGCTGTAGGTCAGGTTCCCAATTCCAGGATCAGTTAACTTGGATTTTTTGTGTCTTTAGGAAGAAAGGTGATGAGAAATTAGTTCAGATCTTTATGGGGGTGATATCTGGGGAAGTTGGTTGTTGTTGTTTTTTTAATTTTATTTATTTATTTGACAGAGAGACAAAGTGAGAGAAGGAACACAAGCAGGGGGAGTGGGAGAGGGAGAAGCAGGCTTCCCGCCGAGCAGGGAATCCGATGCGGGGCTCAATCCCAGGACCCTGGGATCACAACCTGAGCTGAAGGCACACACTTAACGACTGAGCCACCCAGGCACCCTGATACCTGGGGAAGTTGTAACCCAAATGTGGTAGGCAGCCTCTAAGATGGCCCCAGTGATCGCCGCCTCCTGGTCCTCACACCTTCTGAATCCCTGCCCCTTGAATGTGGGCTGCATCTGGTGACTCACTTCTATTTTATTTTTAATGTTTTATTTTCAAGTAATCTCTACACCGAGCGTGGGGCTTGAACCCAGAACTCCGAGATCAAAAGTCGCATGCTCCACTGAGTGAGCCAGCCAGGTGCCCCTGGTGACTCACTTCTGATGAACAGAATATACAGAAGTGATGGATGCTAGCTTAGGTTCCAAAGAAACTTGTGGCTTCCGTCTTAGGTTGCCTTCCCTCCCTCATTCTTGCTTCTGCTTGCTCTGGGGAAGCAAGCTGCCGGTTGTCGGTTGTCCTTTGGGAAGGCCCACAAGGCAGGGAACTGATGAGGGAGACCTCCAGCCAACAGCCAGCAAGGAACTGAGACCCTCAGGCCAACAGCCTGTGAGGAACTGAATCCTGCCAACAGCTACCTGAGCGTGCTTAGAAGGGAATCCCTCTCCAGTCAAGCCTTGAGATAAGACCACAACCCTGGCTGATACCTGGACTGCAGCGTATAAGAGAACCGTGAGGCAGAGGCATGCAGCTAAGCTGAATCCAGATTACTGGCCCACAAAAACTGTGAGATGATAAATGGTTGTCATTTTAAGTTGCTAAGTTTTGGAATAGTTTGCTATCCAGCAATAGATAGCTAATATACCAAGTCAAGACAGATCTGTGTCAATCCCACGTCTGTTACTCACTAGCTGGGATCTTGGTGGACACAATCTAGACTTTGTGAGCCTCAGATCTTCATCTGTAAAGTGAGGAATAATAATAATAATACCTGTACTACATTGTTGTGGCACTGATACATATTCACTACATAGTAACTGTTACTATTATTATTAGCACTGTTGTTGTTAGCAGGAGCTATAGCAGCATAGCAAAATCCTGGTATTTTTGCTGCAAGCTGTGTTTAAAGCATTTGGGGAAAATACATAGAAGGTCATAAAAAGAGGATTCTAAACTGGAAACGACACACTCCACCTTCCCAGGATGATCCCTACTGAGCAATGATATGTCAAACAATATTGCAGTAGAAGCCATGGTTATGTGAGGAGAAAAGCCTTTCCAATTTCCATGGTTTGAGATGAGGTAGAGTAGTGGAAAAGCAGAGATGCCAGCATCAGTCCCAGCTCTGCCTCTTACTGTGTGACCTTGGGAATAAACCTCTGTGCCCTCAGCACCCTAGTCTCTGAAGAAAGTCCCGAGGGCGGCTAGGTCATAACGTGAGGAACCTGCTCGGGCTGTGAAAGGCGGGGAAGAAGAGTCAGGATTCAGGTTCTACCCTTCCTTTCTGCTGCTCCGACCAGGGACCCATCTTGACATGAGGCTGGTCAGAGGTTGGATCAGCAAGATGTGGAGCTTCCGGAGATCACTGACGTGCTAACGAGGACCAATGGAAACGTGCCCCCCGCAATGAGGCTGAAGTTACCTGTACAGCATCAAAGCTGCAATCACCACCAAAATCAGCAGAATACTGAGGAGTCCACCGATGACGTAGCTGACATGAAGTCCTTCCCCTAGGAGGAACAGAGAGAGGCTAGGCGGGGACCAATGACAATCCTCCAGCTGGTGTGAGGGGTGGGGAGATGGAGGGCTCCTTTGCTAGGGGTTGGATGCCACACAATCTGAGGACAGCCAGGGAAGAGGCCACAGGGGTAGGGGACTGAGAAGAAACCTATCAGCCTGCCAACATCTCTATTCCCGATTCCACTACTTACTAGCCATGTGACTTAAGGCAAGATGCTTAATTGAAACCTATGTTTTCTCATTGGTTAAATGTGAATAATAAATTGCTCATACCCTGGTGGCAGTGAAACCTGAGTGTGTACATACATATACATATATGCAGACGTGTGTATGTACACACACATATATAAAGCTTAACAAATGGCCGGCATATGGAAAGTACCCTGTAAGTGGTAGCCAGCTAATATTACTTTTTCTATGGATTTACTCTTAGACATGGGTTCAACAACCCCAAAGAGTCCCCATGAAGGTTCTGGAAGTTATCAGTGGAGACTCTGATTCCTTACATCTTCTTTGTCAAAACAGTTGGGCACTCAGGGCTCACCTGGAGCAGCAGGTACGGCCTCATTGGAATGTGCACAGAGGCCCAGCTGGGCATCCTTTTCAGAGCATCTGTGGGGCAGAGAAAACTGAATGTGAAGGCTACTTGTGTTTGATAAAGATCCTGCCTTCCTCCAGGAAAGAGGGAAAGTCCTGGGGGGTGCCTGGGTGGCTCAGTTGTTAAGCATCTGCCTTCGGCTCGAGTCATGATGCCAGGGTCCTGGGATCGAGCCCTCTATCGGGCTCCCTGCTTGGCGGGAAGCCTGCTTCTCCCTCTCCCACTCCCCCCGCTTGTGTTCCCTCTCTCACTGTGTCTCTGTCAAATAAATAAATAAAATCTTAAAAATATATATATATTTATTTATTGACAGAGAGAGAGAATGAGTGGGGGAGGGAGGAGCAGAGGGAGAGGGAGAATCCCAAGCAGACTCCCTGCTGAGCGCAGAGCCTGACGCAGGACTCACGCAGGACTCAATCTAACCACCCTGAGATCATGATCTGAGTCGAAATCAAGAGTTAGCTGCTCAAATGACTGAGCCACCCAGGCGCCCCATGTTTAAATGGGTTTTAAAATACGTACTCTTTAAAAAAGATTCCTCTAAAAAGGAGAAGCAGGTTTGAAAGTGAGCCAGAAGCCTGCTGACAGAACACTAAGGATACCAATGGTAGGATTTATTAAGCTACCAGAATGAGTTGGAAGAAGCTACCAGCCAAGCAAACCTCTGATTGGATACAGAGTGTCACAAGGTCAAAATAGACCTTGAAAAAAAATTGTTTTTCTTCTCTCCATTCTTTCACAAGGGAATATGCAAGACATCCAGAGGGAGGGCTCAGAGAACCAACTTGAAATGCTAAGAAGGTAACTTCTTTGTGGCACATTATGAACAGGCAATTAAAGGCATCTCCTAAAAGGCTAGAGAAAAGCTATTTGCAAGAACATTTGAAACCAAGATACACTGAGTCTTCAAATAGACCGTTAGAAAGTATCTGATGGGGTTCAAAAGTTTTCTAAATTATCCTAAAGAAAATCAGATTAATCGTGATTGATAGTACTTAGAAGTTAGTAAGAAAGATACATGTTTATATCTGGATGTTTGCCTTTCTATATAAATTTCCAAAAAGAGAAAACGGGGCAAATAGAATGAATTTGATCATGTGTAAATTTTATAATTTTATTCTATTCATTTTTTAATACGCCAATTCTAGTTCTCTGACTTTATTTTTAATTTTTTTTAAGATTTTATTTATTTGAGTGAGAGAGAGAGAGGGCACAAGCAGGGGAAGGGGCAGAAGGAGAGGGAGAGGGAGAAGCAGGCTCTCCGCTGATCAGGGAGCCTGACACCGGGCTTGATCCCCGGACCCGGGGTTCATGACCTGAGCCGAAGGCAGATGTTTAACTGACTAAGCCACCCAGGTGCTCTTGGTTTTTATTTTTATTTTTTTTAAAGATTTTATTTATTTATTTATTTCACACAGAGATAGTGAGAGCAGGAACAGAAGCAGGGGGAGTGGGAGAGGGAGAAGCAGGCTTCCCGTCGAGCAGGGAGCCTGATGTGGGGCTTGATCCCAGGACCCTGGGATCATGACCTGAGCAGAAGGCAGACGCTTAATGACTGAGCCACCCAGGTGCCCCTTCTTTTTTATTTTTTAAGTAAACTCTACACCCAATGTGGGGCTTGAACTCATGACCCTGAGCTCAAGAGTCTCATGCTCTACTGACTGAGCCATCCAGGCACCATGCAAATTTTATAATTTTAAAGACATGAGTCTAGAGTTCTCATTTGGGATTATTATCATGTTTCTGCTTTCAGAATTGAAATCAATTATCTTTTTAAGCTAAAGTTGACACTAAAAGTAAAGAGACAGTATATTACAATGGAAAAAATGTCTTAATAGAAAGATGCCTGGAAAGACAGATATCAAAATTTAACATTAGGAAACTAAATCACTATCTTGGAAAGATACCTGCACCCCCACATTCACTGCAGCCTTATTTACAATAGCCAGGACATGGAAATAACCTAAGTACCCACCAATGGGTGAATGAAGAAGATGCGGAATTTTTTCCAATTTTTCCAAAATTATAAAATTTGCACACGATCAAATTCATTCTATTTGCCCCATTTTCTCTTTTTGGAAGTTTATATAGAAAGGCAAATATCCAGATATAAACATGTATCTTTCTTACTAACTTCTAAGTACTATCAATCACAATTAATCTGATTTTCTTTAGGATAATTTAGAAAACTTTTGAACCCCATCAGATACTTTCTAACGGTCTATTTGAAGACTCAGTGTATCTTGGTTTCAAATGTTCTTGCAAATAGCTTTTCTCTAGCCTTTTAGGAGATGCCTTTAATTGCCTGTTCATAATGTGCCACAAAGAAGTTACCTTCTTAGCATTTCAAGTTGGTTCCAATTTTTTATAACGGAATTTTTTTCTTTTTTTTTTTTTTTAAAGATTTTTTTACTTATTTGAGAGAAAGAGTGTGAGTGGGGGATGCAGCACAGGAGCGGACAAGCAGACTCTGAGCTGAGCACGGAGCCAGATGTAGGGCTCAATCTCACAACCCTGAGACCATGACCTGAGCCGAAATCAAGAGTTGGATGCTCAACCGACTGAGCCACCCAGGTGCCCCAATATATAACAGAATATTATTCAGCCATAAAAAAGGACATTCTGCCATTTGTGATGACATGGATAGACCTTGAGGGCATTATGCTAGGTGAAATAAATCAGACAGAAAAAGACAAGTACCATGCAATGTCACTTATATGTGGAGTATGAAGAAAAAACAAAACCACCCAAACTCATAGATTGGTGTTTGCCAGAGGTGGGAGGTAGCAGGGATGGATAAAATGAGTGAAGGTGGTCAAAATGTGCAAACTTCCAGTTATAAGATTAGTAAGTCCTGGGGAGATAATGTACAGCATAGTGGTTACAGTCAACAATACTATATTCTACATTTAAAAGGAGCTAAGAGAATAAATCTTAAAAGTTCTCATCACAAGAAAAATAATTTGTAGCTATGTGTGGTGACGGATGTTAACTAAACTCACTGTGATAATCATTTTGCAATTTATACATATATCAATAAAAAATATTTAGACTAACTGTATATGGGTACTTATTTCTTTATTCCCATCTGTGTTTCCAGATTTTTTTTTGCAAAGTATAAATTAAAAAAAAAGAATTTCTCTAAATTGAATGTAACATCATGTTTAATCAACCTTAAGATGTGCATTGTTCTATAGTCTTAACACCTGTGGAACAGGAATGTGTCTTATAATCAATGGCATCTCACAATTGATGTTGGTCATGTTTTCAGTTGAAACTCTCAGTATGCACCTTAAATTGATAGGTACCATCCATTTAATTAAATAGAATATTTTATACTTGATTTGAGAACTGTTCATGGTTATGCTTGCTTATTTAATAATGGGGGTGTGTGCGCGCATGCACACATACGCGCATGTGTGTTTGAGGTCATTATAAGCTAAAGCCATCACATCCTTGAGGATGTTCCAAGTCATAAAGCCACAGCCCAGAGACCACTATGACTTGGTGGCTTCTAAGTAAACTGTAGGACAGACCATATACTAAACAGGTTATGTGAGAACAAACATCACAGAAAGGAAGGAGGAAGGCCATGTAAGAAACTCCTCCTGAGTGATTTCTCTCTAAAGTTGCACTTAAAGTTTCTTGCCCTCAGAGCTAAAAAGAAAATCACTTGCAACAATCTACAAGTCAAAATATCATCTCCAGCCTCAAAGAGCAGGGACTGGTGGCTAATGCTGTGCTCTACCTCCCATGTACCAGAATGACTGAGCTAAGACTGGTCTTCTGCTGGTGGGGGATGGTGATTTGGAAAAAAGAGCCCTGAATCCCATATTGAATACACTTACCTTCCTTCCACCTCCTCCAAAGAAGTGCGGGTCCGGGTGGTAGAGGAACGCAAGGTGGTCGGTAGTGTGTTGGGTAGCACTGGGCTCCTTTCACTTAGGCCGGTAGCCCTGGGAGCTGGGGGCACCAGGCCAGGGACTGGAGAGAAAAAGGACTGGAGTGAGCCCCTGGAGCCCCAAATCTCTACATATGATCCACGAGTAACAACCTGGGACACTTGACAAAGCAATCTTCTAGCTGCCCTTATCCTACTCATCCTCATTAGAGGCTCTTCATACTGTAAATAAAATGGATTTGGGTTCCAATATTAATAGCTCTGAATGGCTAGCTGGTCCACAAAGGTCAGGAAAAGACAGCAGTACACAGACCACAGCAGGGGTGAGGGAACTAGGAGACCTGAATTCCGTTCTAGTAAATGCCAGAAGCCAAGCAAACCCAGGTCTGTGCTATTCCAAAGCTCAAACTCCTTGTTCCCAGTCACTGTGCTATAACACCCCCCGAAGGGGGATTCCCACCGAGAAGGACAGAGCTGAGGCTGATGATCCCCTGCCGCTCTAAGGGCTCTGCTGCTCCAGGGGGCCGTCCAGTCCAACTCACCAAGGGAGCAGGGCCGGCCATCTGGCTCATCCGGACAGGCACACACAAAGTCTGAGGCCCTGGCAAAGCAGAGGTGGGTGCAGCCTCCATTGTTCACACCACAGGCATTGGTCCCTAGAGGCAAAGCAGGTAAGTGTCTGGTTTGGGACAGAATCGGGTCTTCCTATTTGGCACTTCGCAGAAAGGAGAAGCTCCAGGGCACCTCACTCCTAGGGGCAGTAGGGCAGAAGGGGTATAACCACATGGGGCTGACAAAGGTACAGGAGCTTAAAATGGGAACCAAAAGGCTCTCCTGTGAGTCTAATTGTCTTGGTCATTAAGAGTCCTTGTGGACACCAACCACCCCACCGATGGTAAGGAAGCAGGCTCAGGACCCAGGAGCCCACCTGTCTGTCGCTGAGGAGAAACCACAATGATATCCATGAGCCCTTCCACATTCGCCAACACTGTCTCCTTGTTCCGGCCTGAGTATTTGTCCACACGCTGGATTGACTTGGTCTGCCAGTCTGTCCAGTAGATCCATCTGTCCTGCTACTCAACAGGAAAACCCAATAAAGAGTAAACATTATTCAATCGTCTGACCCCAGTAGTGTTTCTGCGTTTCAGCACATGTACTCCTGTCGAAATGCCTTCTCTTGTCCAGCACGCCAACTTCCGTGTGTCCCCCAGTATGGCACTATCCAGGACATCTCCCCCAATCCATACAGAATTCACTCCTCCATGCTGTTCTGTGCCTTCTACAAGTGAGTCTTGACACTCTATGATCATTTGCTTACGTGTCTGTCATATAAGACTAAGTTCTTCAAGGACAAAAATATATTTCATTTATCTCTCAATTTCTACCACTAACACCTAATCCTCAGTCAGTTGACTGTGTGGCTCAATGAATAAGTGAGTTCTTATACCTAGTAAATAGGAATAACTTGGAGACAAGGGGTCCTTCTAAGGTCCCAGCACTTCTGGGTCCCTCACTTAAGAGTCCCGGCCCAAATCCTCTGGTTACTTCTAGGGGGAGCTGCCTTCTATTTTTTTTTTTTTAAAGATTTCATTCATTTATTTGACAGAGAGAACACAAGCAGGGGGGCAGGCAGAGGGAGAGGGAGAAGCAGGCTCCTCACCGAGCAAGGAGCCCGATATGGGGCTTGATCCCAGGACCCTGGGATCATGACCTGAGCCAAAGGCAGGCGCTTAACAACTGAGCCACCCAGGTGCCCCTAGATTTTTTTTTTAATTTATTTATTCATGAGAGACAGAGAGAGAGGTAGAGGGAGAAGCAGGCTCCCCGAGGAGCAGGGAGCCCGATGCGGGACTCGATCCCAAGACCCGGGGATCATGACCTGAGCCAAACGCAGACGCTTAACTGACTGAGCCACCCAGGCGCCCGGGGAAGCTGCCTTCTAATGCAGTGATCCCGAGATGCTCAACCAGGGCTGGGGAGAGCAGAGAACGTGGTTCCCCTCCTGCTTCTGGGTATGTATCAGAAATCCCAGGGGAAACTTAAGAGATTGAAAAACCATATTCAATATCATCCTGTAGTTTTACATTTGGAGTATGGGGTGGGGGGAGCCTATCATTAAGTAGAGCCAAAATCTTATTGGCTGGTAGGATATGATGCACAATACAGATAAGTGGAAAGTCAAAAAAGAACAAAGATTTTTAAATGATTGAGAATCCCTGTTTTGGCCCCAGGCTTGACAGGTCTTCCTTTTTCCCCTTCCCCGAATTATTGTACAGGGTTAGAACTCAAAAATGACAGCCAGTGATAATTAAAACAATTAAAAATAACACGCACTGAATGCCAGATAAGTGTGCTAACGCTTTGCGTATATTTCGGGAGGACACCATTATTAAACTCACTTATTTTATAGGTAAGTGAAGCTTACAGAAGTTCAGTCTTTTGTCCAAAGTTGCACTTGTTCAATGATACGGGCAGAGCTTGAACCCACGGAGCTGGCAGATTAGAGGCTCTCAGTAAACACATACCACCTGGCTGGCTGCCTCAAAACTCGGGCTTGTAACCACTCCACCCTACTGTCACTAAGCCAGCTGTCTGGGCACAGCAGTTGGAAACACAGCATTCGAATCAACTAGGGAACCTGTTAAAATGCACATTCCTGGGACCAACGCTCATGAAGCAGAGTCTTTATCTCCCAGGGTCCAGGAATCTACATTTGCGAGCCCCTCCCTCAAACGCTAGAACGTGGAGTGGTGGGACGGGACCAAGAGGCATATGGCGGCAAGACTTCCGTGTACAGGAAACAGCCCTAAAATGAGCCTCGGTAGCATGCCTGTCGCGTAGCAACTAGGGTTGAGGCTGCCAACTTGGGATCCCAAGGAAACACCGCCCACCAAGGAGGTTTAGTTACCTCTCTCCTGAGCCAGTACCTGAGTGAGAGCAAAGGGGTGGGAGACATGGCTGACTAACACCTGCCGTAGCTTCCCATTGAGGTCAGCGCTCTCAATCCGGTCCAGATGTGCATCTACCCAATAGATCCTGTGAAGGAAAAGAGAGAAGTTGGCTGCTCAAAATGCTTGCCAAGAAGCCCAGTTCTTCCCCCCAAGGAGCTATCTGTCTCCCTCCTGAGCTGAACCAGCAGGGGCTGTGAGCCGTCAAAAAGCACCCTTGATGAGAGAGGTCACTGCAAGTTCCAAAGCTGAAGAGTGGAGGTTAGTGACTCAAGTGGGGGGTCAGAGCTGTCTGGGGTGGGGTAGAGAGCTGTGACCTCAGAGGAGTCACCCTCCAGGCTCATCTGATCCCAAGAATCGAAGCCCAAATTCTTATGAACACTCTTCAAGAAGAGATCTTGGTTTGCAAGGACTTCACTGAGGTTGAAGGAAGAAGGTATTCCTCTTCTCTAGCCCGGCTCTCCAGGTGACTTTGATTCCCTTCCCTTCTTCTGGGGGCAGAAAGGGAAGCTGCCTGCTTCAAAGCCCCTTTCACCCCCTTCTCCCGCCCTCCAGCATTTTTTATCTAGACAAGGAGTTGCAAATTCCAATAAGTGAAGGGATCAGAAAAGTAACAAACACAAAAAAAATCACCCTCCAATGGGTAAGGGGTCATGGGACCTGCAGTCCAGCCAGAGGATGTGCTCTGCTAAAGACACTCAAATCAAAAACATGTAAACCACACAAACAAAATCCATCTGAGGACTGAGGGCCCGATTCAGCAACCCTAAGAATGTGTTCCCTCATCCTTCTCGCTGCTTTTTTCCCTCCTTACCTATCAAGGAGCTTTCTATCTTTTTGTTTTCACTATCTGAATCTCCACCATCCTTTCCTCTGCCCATTCAATTTCCAGGAAGCTCCTGGGACACGGTTCCCACCTGCGGGTATCATAGTCCAGGGTAAGGCCATTGGGCCAACCCAGGTCTGTGTTGATGAGGACCTTCCGCTCAGAGCCGTCCAAGTTTGCCCGCTCAATCTTGGCAATGTGGCCCCAGTCTGTCCAGAAGAGGTACCTGAGATACAACACTGCCATCATCACCAAAGCATGGGAAGATGGCACCCAGAGGCTGAGAGAATACGGGGGACACACCGACACCATTAGTGCATAGGCATCTTCCAAGGGACTCTTCATCAGGCCCTTCTTCCCTGGGTCTCTCTTCTGCTGGCCAAAAACTTACCCCTTGCGGGGGAAAACGGCAATGGCCCGAGGCTCATCCAGGCTGTTATTGATGAGCACCTTGCGGCAGGAACCATCTAGCCTTGATGCTTCAATGGTATTTCGGCCTGTGTCCGTCCAGTACAGATTCCTGGCCACCCAGTCTACTGCCAGCCCGTCGGTGGTCTTCAGCCCACGCCCAATCACTGTCTCCATGTTGCTGCCATTCAGATCTGCTCTCCTGAGGGAAGAGCCCAGGGCTGCATGACTGACCCGAATGACCAGAGATTGACTGCCCCCCCTTTAAGTATATTTATTTAAGTAATCTCTACATCTGATGTGGAGCTCGAACCCATGACCCCAAGATCAAGAGTCATATGCTCCTCCAACTAAGCCAGCCAGTCACCCCTAGACTGAAACCCCTTTAATCCATGTTCCTATAATTAGATCCCTACTAGACTATAAGCTCCCTAGGGGCAGAGACCACATACCTATCAGTACATTCCTCAGCCTCTAGCACAGTAGGTACTCAAAATATTAGCAGAATTAATGAACAAATTCTTGGGAGGACAGAGTATTTCCTGCTATAAATAGGAGGTGTTTGGGCCCATGTCTTGCAGAAGACAGGTTAGTAATTCTCCACATACCTTATGGAAGAGATAAGGATTACTAGGTGGTAATTATAAGAAAGGCAAATTTGTCAAAATCACCTGTGTATTTTTACATTAGTCCTACACCAGGGAATTCAACCACAGGATGGGGGTATGTCACAAACACTTAGGGAACTTCTCTAAACTAAATATACCCAGCTGTTCCCAGCATGAGTTTTTTTTTTTTTTTTTTAAGATTTTATTTATTTATGTGAGAGAGGGCATGCACAAGCAGGGGGGAGGAGGAGAGGGAGAAGCAGGCTCCCCCCCACTGAGCAGGGAGCCCAATGTGGGGCTCGATCCCAGGACCGTGGGATCATGACCTGAGCCAAAGGCAGACGCTTAATGACTGAGCCACTGAGGCACCCCTCCAGCATGAGATTCTAATATGCCCCTCAGGGAGAACAAAGGGGAATACCCCTATTCTTTCACATGAGAGAATTCTTTCTCTGCCATCACAAACCCCTCATACTAGTGGCAGGGCATCACATTCCTCAGTTAGGATGGGATAAAAAAAATTGAAAGAATAATAAAAAGTAAAATAAAACAAAAATATTTTTAAAACAGCAAAATACAACCTTGTGAACAATCATAAGCCTTGGCATTTGTCCAGGGCTCCTGTATTATAATACAGATATGTGGTTTAGCTACATGGCCTACTCATCAATGAGTCTTAGGGGATGCTTAGAGCTCCCACAGGGCCTAATAGTGGGGTAAAGGCTCCAGGTCCCCAGCCTGACTATCTGTTTGTTTTACATACTAGGCTTCTATTAATCTAGAAATAACAACAGCAACAACAAACCCAAATCTGAACTCTGTTGTAAATGACAAGCAAACAAGTCAGGATCAGAACTCACTATCCAAACTACCAAATCACTCAGTCTATTTAGAGGTCAACATGAACCATGATCTCACCCCAACAGGGATGGGATACAGGTCTGCGTCCTCTGGAGATTTCAGGGATGTTCATACCTGATAACATCCAGGAACACATCTGTATAATAGACCTTCCCGTCCACACTGTCATAGTCCAGGGAAATGACATTGTTTAGCTCAGGAACCGGGATGTGCACATCTGTGTGGTCGCTGGTGTCCAGTGAGATACGCCGGATGGAGCCTCGGCTGGAGAAGAGCAGGTAGGTCTCGGGGGAGGGGTCACACGTCTTCCCATCTCGCTTCAGCTGGATGCCAGTGGGGCAGGCGCAGGAGAAGCCCGAGGGCCGAGGCAAGCAGAGGTGGGAGCAGCCGCCGTTTCTCGAACCACACTTGTTAAAACCTGGGGAGGCGAGACGCATGAGTCTTGACACCCAGCCCGGATTCTTGTGGAAAGCTTACAAAGGCCCTAGTTTCTTGTGCCTGGTTCTCTTCTGTTCTAAGTGATAGAATTTGGTGCCTGGCAGGGATGAGGGAGAAAAAGCAGGTATGTCTCCCTTCAGGAGGTCTTTGGAAGGTGACAGCATCATGCGGTTGGAGTACCAGCCATACCCAGACGGAACACGGCCTGATCCAGGAAGGGGGCTTAGGGAGGTCCTTGTCTCGGAGATCATAAAAGAATCTCTGTGCTCCGGACACATCTCAGACGCCGAGCTACCCCTGGAAAGCCAGTTCCGGCTCACCGCCCTAGGGGTCCTCTCACCCAGTGGCTGTGCCCGGTCCACGGCCTGGATGTCCATGAGGCCTGGCAGGTTGGACCTGACCAGGATGACATTGCTGCCAGTCCCCTTGTCGGCACGGTGGATGCTCCGGGTCTGCCAGTCAGTCCAGTAGATATAGGAGCCAAGCAGGGTGAGGCCATAAGGGTGCTGCACAGGGGACACCAGCGTGTGCCGGCTGGCGCCATTCAGGTCGGCAGCCTCAATTCGCTGTGGAGGAAGGAGAGGGTGGGGGATGGCTATGAGTAGACAAGGAGTCCTGAGCAGAGATCCTGAACAGTCCCTCGCCTGTCTTTTCAGGCTTCCAGGAAGCGACAGGAACGGGACTCTCACCTCAGTGTGGGCATCGGCCCAGAGCAGTTGGGAGCTGGCCTTGTCCACAGTCAGCCCATTGGGCCATCCTAGGTTGTTGCTGATGAGCACGGTCCGGTCTGACCCATCCATTCCAGACCGCTCTAGCTTGGCATTCTCCCCCCAGTCCGTCCAGTACATGAACCTGGGCCAGGAAAAATACTGCTATGTCTGTAGCTCCTACATACTGGAAGTACTGACCGTATGCCAAACGTTGTGAAAAGCATTTTATGCAAAATGTGGAGTTGTCGTTTGCGGGTCTAGAGCTTCGGATCTGCAAGACGAGAAAGTTCTGAAGATCTGTTTCACCATCATGTGCATAGACTTTACTGAGCTGTACACTTAAACAGTTGAGATGGCAAATTTTATGTTTTTTTTTTAACCACAATTTTTTTTAAAAAAGAATTTTCCATGGATTCTCTCACTTAATCCTCACAAGAGCATGAGGTATACATTTTCACTACCACCTCCACTTACTGGTGAGGAAGCTGAGGATGAGAGGTTAAAAACGGGACCCAAAGTGACAGACGCAACTCAGAAATGGTAAAGAATGTTGAATCCTGGATTTCAGACTCCAGGGCTCGTGCCCTTTACTACTACATTATCCTACCACCCCTGAAAGAAGTCAGAAGGAGCGGAACAGCCCCAGTGAGGTCAGTCTCCGCGTTCCTGTGAGCAATGCCTGCGCTTTGTTGTTCTCTTCCCCAGCTGAGCTGGCCTACCCCACCGCCCCGAACCACAGAGCTGGCTCTCACCCCATCTCGTGGTACAGCACAATGGCCCGTGGGCTGTCAAGATTCTGCCACACCAACACTTTCCTCATGGACCCGTCCAAGTTGCCCACTTCAATCCGGTTGGTTCCCGTGTCTGTCCAGTACACTTTCCGGCCAATGGCATCCACTGCGAGCCCATCTGTGGTTTGCAGCCCTGCAGGAAGTCAAGAGCGCACACTGGCTCCTGCCTTAAAACAGACGGGATGCTTCCCCAGCTCTGCAGCCAGACAGGGGGTCCCTGGGCTGGGAGCAAGGCCCACCTGTGGTGATGATGTCCTCATGCTGCGAGCCATCCAGATTGGCACGGCTGATGCTGTGCAGGGTACTGTCTGACCAGTACACCTTTCCTGGAAAGGGAAGGCTTAGCTCAGCCTGGACCCTCGCCTCTCCCAAAGGAACACCCATAGCTGACCCATGCCCTGAGACACCAGGGCATGTCAGAGAGTCCTCTACCCCTGAGCAGAGGAAATCAAGGGAGATACAGAAATATCGTAACAGGAATGTTCTCGGCAGAGATGGAAGCAAGGCCCCAAACCATGCCCTCATTACCAAAGAGAAAGTGCTACAGAGATGGGGCAGGGCTGTGCCAGAGGGAACAGGGAGCCCCAGGCCCTTAGCAGGAAGCAAAGGTGGTAGGAGAGGAAGAAGAGCAGCTGCAGTGGGTTAGGGACAGAGGGCCACACGGACCTTCCTGGGGATCTACTCCAATGGCAATGGTGTTCTTCATGGTAATGTTGATAGGTACCACCACGTCGGCAAAATAAGGGATGTCCAAGGAGACCATGCGTATGTCTATTCTCCTGGCGAAGATGAGGAAACTGTTCATGCCTGCCCAGGTGGGGACAAAAGGAAAGAGGAAAGTCACCCTAGCGTAGCCAGTAAGAGGATCTGGAGTAAGGCAAATGGGAGTGCATGCCCTGTCTCTGTTAGTTTCTAGGGGTGCGATCCTGGTCAAGTTCTTTAAATTGTTCAAGCCTCAGCTTCAGCATCTGTAGAATGGGGATAATAGCAGGGTATCCCGTAGGATTAGAAGAGATCATGTACAGAAAGCACTTAGCACTGGGCTTGACACACCGTCATAAATGAGAGCTCTCTGCACTTTGCAGGAACTTTTACCATGAGGTTTAAAAAACCTCATGTTAAGTGAAAGGGCTTTCCCTACAACCAGGGAGGGCCGATTCACAGATCCTTTCTCATTCGAATTGCAAGGAAGTTAGGGTTCAATTGCGGCCTGCCATGTAGCATCCCCTAGGGAGAAACATCAACTTCTAACATCTGAGCAGCCAGGCCCTGCTTCTGGGACCCTCCAACTGTCACATAAGTTGTACACTCACAAAGTGCCACTTCCAAGGGAGGGACCATGACATTGGAGAGCACATATGTTTTAGTATTTATTATACCAGCTCTCGGCAGATAGAACTAAAGTGACTTGTTCTAACCCAATCAGTGTATTATGACAATTTTCCAACACTGAAAGCAAAACATCTGAGAAAAGAGCATCCTTTTCTAAAATGCATAGAGACCCTATAAGAACAAGTTAGACTCTGCCTATGATTCTGTCTACCTGGTCCCTTGGGCCTCATCCTGGACTTCTCCTTTTCTCTAAAACTTCTTGGTCTCTCCTATGCCTCTCAGAGTACCGGGACCCACAGTTTCTCAGCCCACCCTGGAATCCACCTACAGGGAAGGAAGAGAGCCACTGCCCTTCCTGGAGAGGCTCTATCCTGGCCCGTGATGCTCCAACTTACCTGGTGAGCAGGTCTTGCCATCAGGCATCAGGTTGATGCCCGTGGGGCAGGTACAGCTGAAGCCACTCGGATTTGGGGACCGAAGACACAGATGGCTGCAGGCTCCATTCTCCCTAGCACATGGCGTGGACACTGGGTAGGGAGGAGGGGGGTCAGTGGGGAGGTCTATAGCAAAGGAAGGCTGAGGAGAAGCCACGGTGGGCCGAGGGCAGTTCACCTGGGGGCCGCCGGCGGTGGAAGACGTGGATGTCCATAAGGTTCTCCAAGTTCTCCTGCAGGGTCTCCCGGTCTAGCCCCGTCAGCCGGTCAGCGCTCTGTATACTCTTGGTCTGCCAGTCAGTCCAATAGATGCGCTCCCCATACAGGGTTAGCCCAAAGGGGTGGGGGAGCTCGCTTCCAATCAGCACCTGCCGGGGGCCCCAGCACTTGTGTCATCCCCCAGCAAGGTGAGACAGTACAGAGTGGCGATCAAGAGGGAGCCACTTCCACATGTGGAGTCAGGATGCAGTTCCTCCACTACCACCTGCTGTGCAACCTTGAGCAAGAGCTGGTTATAAAATCTCTCTGAGGGACGCCTGGGTGGCCCAGCCGGTTAAGTGGCTGCGTTCGGCTCAGGTCATGATCCTAAGGTCCTGGGATCAAGTCCTGCATAGGGCTCCTTGCTCAGCGGGGAGCCTGCTTCTCCCTCTGCCTGCCACTCCCCCTGCTTGTGCTCGCTCGCTCTCTCTCTCTGATTAAAAAAAAAAAAAACTCTCTGAGCTTTGGTTTGCCAATCTGTGATATGATCGTGATGGCGCCTGGCTCCAAGGGTTGTGTGATGATAGTAAAAGATCATGTATGATTTACATAACCTCAGAGTACCTCTGCACAAATTATTTATTAATTACAAAAGGAAAAACAGCAACTGCACAGTGGATACCACCTTAACCAACCACCTTACCCACGCCAAGTTAATTTCACTGTAAAGGGAGAAGCTGACCTCTGTGCCTGCACAGAGACACAACTTTATTTAATGTAGTACCCCTGCCCCAAACACATTGAATCTAAGGAAACAGCAGACGGATTGAGGGACATTCTACAAAATAACTGGCGTTGTTTGATTTTTAAAAATACAAAGGTCAACAAAGACATAGAAAGGACTTATTTCCTTGACTGGATGGGTTAAATAATTATGAGGAAGTGTTCCAGATTAGAGGTTAATCTGGAACCTGATTACTAAACACACTTGTGATCTGGGATTGGATTCTGGCCTCAGAAAGAAAAAAAAGGAAAAAAATAGCTATAAAGGATATTATTGGGGCAATTGGTGGTGAGACTGAATATGGACTGTTAATTAGACAGTAATATTGTATCAATGTTAAACTTCCTGATTTTGATCGTTGCACTGTGGTTACTTAAGACAATGTCCTTGTTCTTAGGAAATCGAAATATTTTGGGGTCAAGGGCAGGATGTTTCCAATTTAATCTCAGAGGGTTCAGAAAAATAATAATATGTGTGTGTGTGTGTGTGTGTGTGTGTGGTTAGAAAGAGAATGGTTCACCGATTTGACAATTCTTACAACTTTTCTGTAAATTTGAAATTATACCAATAAACAACAGCAAAAACAAAGAGGGCGATCTCTCACAGGTCCAGGAGGCAATTGGTGATTAAATAATGTCAGTTGTGACAGTTAGGAGGAAGGTCTGTGCACCACAATCTACACAAAGCCCTAGCTTCCCTTCATCACCAGGCAACAATCCCCCACCCAGCCTCCTCGGCTCTGGAGGGCAGCCACAGCCTCAAAGGAAGAGCACACCCCTCATGCTGGTCCCATCATGCCTGGGTCCTTCTAGCTGCCGGCCAGGGAGTGCTGCCCCGGAGGCTGTCAGGGTTGGGGGAGGATGCCTTAACACCACCCTTACCTTCCTCTTGCTGCCATCCAGACCAGCAAATTCAATCGTCTTCATGCCAGCATCCGCCCAGTAAAGCCGCTGGGACCCGTAGTCAATGGCTAATCCATTAGGCCAGGTCAGATTGGAAGAGATGATGACCTGGCGGCCGGAGGCATCCATGCCAGCTCGTTCAATCTTGGGGCTAGCACCCCAGTCGGTCCAATACATGTACCTGGGCACAGGCAAAGAAGCTCTTACAAGCCTTCTAGTTAACACGCCGTGGGGACTTGGGGTGCCTGGGGTGTCAGCTACTTGCACTTGTTGCCCCAGCCTCCTGCCTCAGCTCCCAGCCCCAACCTGGGCTCAAAGCTCTCTCCGAAGGTGTCGTATGTTCTATCACTATCCAAAGGTTCCCCGGGGTTTTAATAAAGGCAGAGCCCAATGGCTCAAGGAGTGTTCGGCAAATGAGGCCTATTTGGGGATAAAGAAAGAGGGGAAGAAGAATGGGGTGCAGGAAATGTTTCCTTGGGGGCACCTGGGTGGCTCAGTTGGTTAAACGACTGCCTTCAGCTCAGGTCATGATCCTGGAGTCCCAGGATCGAGTCCCACATTGGGCTCCCTGCTCAGCAGGGAGTCTGCTTCTCCCTCTGACCCTCCCCGCTCTCATGTGCTCTCTTCTCTCTCTCTCTCTCTCAAATAAATAAATCTTAAAAAAAAAATGTTTCCTTGGGGTGCCTGGGTGGCTCAGTTGGTTAAGGTCTGCCTTCGGCTCAGGTCATGATCCCAGGGTCCTTGGGATCGAGCCCCATGTCGGTCTCCCTGCTCAGTGGAGAGCCTGCTTTTCCCTCTCCCTCTGCCTGCTTCTCCCCCTGCTTGTGATCTCTATCTCTCTGTCAAATAAATAAATAAAATCTTAAAAAAAAAAGAAAGAAAGAAATGTTTCCTTGACTGGATGGGTTAAATAATTATGGTACACAAATTCAATGGAATTCTTCCATATAACCATGAAGAAGAATAAGACAGTTCTATATTACCAAGTGGAAAGATATCCAGGATATATAGTTAAGTGAAAAAAAAAAAACCAAGTTACAAAACAGTATACCATTGTGGTAGAACCAAAGCCACCACCACAACCACAACAAATATATATATATATATATATATATATATACACATGTAAAAGAAAATCTGGAAAAATAACCCTAAACTGTTAACTGTTAGCAATGGTTATTGCTGGAGAGTGAGGCTATAGGAAATCTTCACTTACTACAGATTTATTTACTTATTTGTTTGTTGGTTGGTTTATTTACAATGAGTTCCTTTTGTTAGCAGACAAAAAAAAAAGATGAAAAAATTTAAAAGGTTTCCTTGTCCACTGGGGGCGGGGGCAGAGTTGTCACTGTGCCTCTTCGGTTTCTGTAGATGCTCTTGCTGCCTGTGCCCATAAGCTCTGGCCATTCTCGCTAACCTCCAGACTCCCCTCTAGTGCTCAGAGCTGTGCAATGGGTGGAGCTTGTCCCAAAGGAACAGGTGCTCACCCGCCCATGGGTTCCACCACGATGTCCCGGGGACGATCAAGGTTCTCCCAGATGAGAACTGTCCTCATGCTGCCATCTGTGTTGGCCACTTCAATCCGGTCTGTCCCTACCAAGAAGTAAGGGGCAAAGATATTAACTCTATTCTTGGTCCTTCACCCTACTGCCTTCCACTCCCAGCACAGAGCCTGGCATGCTGGAGATGATCAGGAAATATTTTACAACAGATGCGCAACAGATACTGAGTGAACTGAATTTGGAGAAGATGATGCTGCAGGTCCAAGGACCACACTGTGAGTAGCTCTGGTATAAGGCATTCCTCTTGCCTCCCAGACTCACCTGGCTCATAGAAAATGCTTGTTTTATTAAGACAGTGATGTAAGGAAAACCACAGGGCAGAGTTTCCTTCTCTGAAATGCCTCAAAACATTTCTGAGAACCAGCTACACAGGCAGCTACAGGCAGTAGCTGCCTTCTGATTGGCAAATGCCAAACCCTCGGATATGAGCGTCTAGCTTCAGCTCTGCAGCAGCCCCACCACTTCTGACCTGCCAAGAACTTTAGGCCAAGACAAGTGGTCTAGGAGGGGCCCCTTCTACCTGAAGCTAGAATTTCAATAAGAAGACTCCCACAGAGCCAGGCCATGGCTGCCCTGAACATACCTGCATCTGTCCAGTATAGCTTGTTGGTGACCCAATCGATGGCTAGGCCTGCTGGACTCTCCAAACTGGTATCCACTACCACCTAGACAGAAAGCAAAGCTGTTATCACCAACTGGACTTGTACCTCAGCTCTGGGGCCCAGCTGTACCAATTCTCAAGGTTGGCAAAGGTATGGGAAGCCTTGACCCAGGAGAAGCTGGATTCCGCCCCTCAGTCTCTGCCCTCCCCGATGGGCCCTACCTCCTGTCCTGTTCCATCCCACTTGGCCCTGCTGATGGTGTCAGTGCTGACATCTGTCCAGTACACGTGGTCATCCCGGGAGTCCCAGTCAAGGGCCACAGCACTGCGCACGTCAGCCAGTGGGATGACATCGTCGGACAGGTCCTCTGTGTCGAAGCTGATCCGACGGATGTCCATCCTTCGGGCAAAAAGCAGGAACTTGTCAAGACCTGATCAAAGGCCGAAAGGGGTCTTCTTTTAATGCTCTAAATTCAATCACAGTGACAGACACAGACGCTCACCTGTGTGACATCTGGTTCAATCACACTTCCTGGGATCTGGTGCCCTTTGTCCCCTACTCTTCACACTTCAGGCCCTCTGTGAGCACTGGGCAGGCCCGTGTTGACAGACTCAGGCTTTAGGGTCAATGGACTAGGAAACAGACTCTCCCCAGGGTCCAGAAGTGTATCCTGTTTAAGCATCTGTCAGCTTCACCTCCTTTTCTCTCCTCTTTGCTCAGCCTCTTTGGACACACCGGCTGTCTGTCTGTCCACCCCCACCCGACCTTGCTCACTTCCATGCCTGCTTCAGGGCTTCCGCTCCACTCCATCCCCTACATCCTTCTCTTCACAACATTACCCAACAATGACTACTGAGCACTCACTCCTTGCCAGGCCTGCCTTGCCTCCTTTACTCTCATAGCAACTCTTCGTGATTCACGTCATTCTTATTCTCATTTCCTAGATTAGCAACCCTGAGACTAACAGCAGGTCAAGGAGCTTGCCCAGCTTCCCCCAGCTACAAATCACCAGAGCTGGGACTTGAATTCAGGTCTGGCTCTGGAGAAGGAGCTCTGGCTACCCCCTTACACAGCTGCTTCCCCCTGGCTCTTCTCCATCCCTTGCCCCATTCCGGTCTATCTGAATATTTCTCAGTATACATTTCTGCCTGGAAGGCACTTCCTGCCTCACTTCACCGAGTGTCTTCTTTTAAGCTCTGGGAAATGCTTAGGGGGAGCTCCTGGGGAAACCTGTTGTACCTCACTGAGACAAGAGGGACAAAGCTGGCACTTACAAGAATGCAAGGAAGGTAGGTTCTCAATCAATGCGTGTTGAATGAATAGCCCCTGTTCCTCTGAATAGTTTCCCTAATATCACTCTCTGGAAAGGACCCAGATCCCAAGAGAAGTTTGGTTTTAACACAGGACAAGAGGGTCAGTGAGTACACAGCAGTAAACAAGAGCAACTGCTGATGTGTGAGGAATTACCCCTAGCTCCTTGCTGGTGATGTCTTACTCCTGGATCACCCCTCTCTGGACTATTCTTAGGAAAAGTCACCTGCAACTCTGAGCTAGACAGGGCTACCCTCTCAAGGCAATAACCCTGCAGGAGCTCAAAGGAAGCCAAAATAGCAGTTCAGGGAGCGACCAGGGAACCCCATAATCTCCCACTCATTAGACACTTACTTATCCAGGGTCTATGTATACAGAGCATCACCAGAGGTCCTAACCTTGGCTCTCTGGTCTAGGAGCTAGAAGGAAGTCTTTAATAGGGTGAGGCTACAGGTAAAGAGACAGAAACCCCTACTTTCTACAAGGGCCTGGAACCCTCTCGCTGCCTACGGATAAAGCATCCTATCTGGTGAAATGATCCACCAGCCTGGTTGCAGGTATTCATGCTCAACTGGGTTGTGTCACTGAGCCCTTGGGCCTCAGCTTGGATATAGGAGCCATCAGCCTCTTAAGTTCTTCCTCTCCGGGGGCTATCTGAGGAGCCTGGCTCTTCCCCATGACAGGCAATCCCTTGAATTCCTATCTCCTGTTCCTTCCGCCCACCTTCACAAGGCACGTCCACTAAGGCGGGTGCCCCAGACCCACTTACTCTGGGCACAGGCGTGGCTGCTGATCTTGCGGAAACCGGTGGGGCAGGCACAGGTATAGTTCTGGCCACTGGGCAGACACAGGTGGGTGCAGCCTCCATTGTTGTCCCCACAGCGGTTCTTCCCTGTTCAAAGAGCCCAGAGCAAAAGGGTCAGGAAAGACCAAAGGTTGGCAGAGTCCCCCCCAAGGCAAGTGAATGGGGTTTAGCCAGGGTGTGAGTTCCCTGGAAGGAGGAACTACGTCTCATTATTTTTTATATCTGTCCCAGCTGCGAACACAGTGACTCCCTGACAGAAGAGATATCCTATAGGGGGCCTGGGTGGCTCAGTTGGTTAGGCGACTGCCTTCGGCTCGGGTCATGGTCCCGGGGTCCCGGGATCGAGTCCCACATCGGGCTCCCTGCTCAGCGGGGAGTCTGCTTCTCCCTCTGACCCTCCTCCCTCTCATGCTGTCTCTCATTCTCTCTCTCAAATAAATAAATAAAAATCTTAAAAAAAAAAAAAAAGAGATATCCTATAAATGTTTGCATGAATCAGATGGGGACAGCGAAGCCAATTTTCTTGACTCTCGATGTTGTATTCCAAATGTCCAGCAGAGGGAGAAATTGGCCCGTATCCGTGCCAACCACAAATTTCCGGGCCAGAAACAATGGCAGCTGAGACAGGTGCAGGGAAGGTTCTCAGAGGCACCAGAGGTCTACCAGGTGGGTCGTTTCTTACCTGCAGGCTGGCGCTGGGGGTGCAGGGTGTGGATGTCCATGGGGAAATGGAGTTTGTTGCGAATGATCTCTTGGTTCTTGCCAGTGAATTTGTTAGCACTATTGATGCTCTTGGTGTGCCAATCTGTCCAGTACAGGCTGTCTTCAAACACGGTGATGGCAAAGGGATGGGGGAGGCCTGTGGAAAGTCCAGAAGGACCTCAGTCCAGACAGAGCCTACCATGGGCTCCAGGCCCAGGCCTGGCAACTGCGCCAATCTCACCCGCTGCCAAGGTTCCTGGGGGCTGGGATTGGGGAAGAAGGATGAGAGATGAAGGACAGCGGAGAAAGGGCCTCACCCTGGCTAATGACAGCCTTGCGGTGACTCCCGTCCAGATTGGCCCTCTCAATGACATGGTGCTTAGCATCCACCCAGTACATACGATGCCCAGCATAGTCAATGGTGAGGCCATTGGGCCAGAAGAGGTGAGTATCGGCAATGATGCGGCGTCCAGAGCCATCCATGCTGGAGGCCTCAATGCGGGGGGTGTTGCCCCAGTCTGTCCAGTAGATGGTACTAGGAAGAGACAAAAGGAAATTGAGAGACAGGCAGCAGAAGGCAGGTAGTAACAGGAATAATAATCAGACTGGGGCCTTTTATCCATTTAACCCAGGGGAGTCCAACTAGTAGGAGGCACATTCTGTGTGTAGTCCACGGAGTGTTTTCTAAATGTCTGAATTTAAGTGTCTCTAGCAGGGCATTTATTCATTTAACAATTCTTTTTTTTTTTAAAGATTTTGTTTATTTGACAGAGAGAGACACAGCGAGAGAGGGAACACAAGCAGGGGAAGTGGGAGAGGGAGAAGCAGGCTTCCCACCGAGCAGGGAGCCCGATGCGGGGCTTGATCCCAGGACCCTGGGATCATGACCTGAGTCGAAGGCAGACGCATAATGACTGAGCCACCCAGGCGCCCCCCCCCCTTATTTTTAATAGTACCTGCAGGGCTGTCTCTTAGGGATTAGGAGTATAGCAGTGAACAGAACAAAAATCCCAACCCTTGTGGGAGACAATTTTTTGTTATTTCTCAAATAACAAAAATTATTAATTTGTATTAATTAGTTCAACCCTATGAACTAATAATAAAAATATTAAGCACCTGCAATGATTTAATGTGTCTTAGCCATTTAAAATGCATCACATTTTGGGTGGGTAAAATAGGTAAAGGGGGTCAAAAGGTACAAACTTCTAATTATATAATAAGTAAGTCATGGGAATGGAACGTACGGCATGGTGACTATAGTTAATCACACTGTACTGTATTATTTCCAAGTCGCTAAGAGAGTAGATCTTAAAAGTTCTCATCACAAGAAAAAATTGGGGTGCCTGGGTGGCTCAGTCGTTAAGCCTCTACCTTTGGCCCAGGTCATGATCCTGGGGTCCTGGGATCGAGCCCCACATCAGGCTCCCTGCTCAGCAGGGAGCCTGCTTCTCCCTCTTCCACTCCCCCTGCTTGTGTTCCCTGTCTCTCTGTATCTCTGTCAAATAAATAAAATCTTTAAAAAAAAATTGTTGTAACTGTTGTACACTGACAGATGTTAACGAGACTTATTGCAGTGATCATTTTGCAATATACACAAATACTGAATCATTATGCTGTACACTGAAACTAATATAAGGTTATATATGTCAATTATACCTCCATTTTATTTTTTTAAAGATCTTATTTATTTATTTGACAGAGAGACACACAGCAAGAGAGGGAACACAAGCAGGGGGAGTGGGAGAGGGAGAAGCAGGCTTCCCGTGGAGCAGGGAGCCTGATGTGGGGCTTAATCCCAGGACCCTGGGATCATGACCTGATTCGAAGGTAGACGCTTAATGACTGAGCCACCCAGGCGCCCCTGTACCTCCATTTTAAAAAGTGAGTCTCTTTTAAAATCTTCACATGGCTAGGAGGTAGGTGTGCTTTTTTTTATCCCCAATTATAAGTGACTGAGAGGAGGCAGATATAGACTGACCCAAGACCACATAGCCATTTCCTGCAGAGCCAGGACTCAAATCCAGGCATGTCTGGGTGCAGAGCCCATGCTGTTTTAAGGCCACACTGTGAAGAGGCCCCTCCAACAAGGTCTGGCCCAAGAACTGTCCCCAGAGGTTGCAAGAGGGGTTTGGGAGCTTGAGACACAACTCACTCACCCTTCCATGGGGTGCAAGGCAATAGCCCGGGGCTTCTCAAGGTTTTGCCACAGCAGGACCTTCCGATGGGCCCCGTCCAGGTTGGCGACCTCAATCCTTGATGTCCCTGAGTCGGTCCAATAGAGTTTGTCATGGACCCAATCCACAGCCAGGCCCCCTGATGGAAAGAGGCAGCAAGAAAGTGTCAGGGATTCAGTCAAGTGACCTCTGTGTCCACGTAACAAGAGCCAAATCTTACAGGAAGATGTTGGGTTGGGCGCTGTTCTGACCATGTTACGTATACCAACTCACTTGATCATCAGAACAACTCTGGGAGCTCGATACTAGAATCTCCGTGAAGATGGAGAAACTGAGGCAGAGAGAAGTCGAGGAACTGTCCAAGGTCAAGCACTTCCTCCTCTCAGCCAACCATATTCTACTTCCTGAATCCTGGCTCCCTGACCCACGCCCAGGGTCCGCCCCCCCCCGCCCCCCACCCCCCGCAACAGCACCGCACTGGCTCAAGGGTTTGCAAACCGGCTCAGAGTTTTGTAGAGGTACTTCAGAAGTTCCATAAGCATATGAGTCAAATGTGCATGATACCAAATTCTAATCCACTTAACAGGCTTGTAGAATGGCCTAAGATTACAGAGTGAGCTCTTGTTTTTTTAATCTGTAAACATTTGGATATATCTATCTGGGTTGAGGAGAATATTCTTAATACTAAGCAATCAAAATGAAAGTCTGAACTGAACCAAATGCTAAGACTTAGAGCGAATTGTAACTGCTGCCCATAAAGCTCTGATTTCAAATGATTACATTCATCAAAACATCTCATTACTATTGAGCCCAATAATGAGCAAATGCCATAAACCTGAATCCATAAAATTCATGTTTTCCCTACTAGAATTCCATCCAAGATTTCACTGGAATAAAAAGACGTTCTGCTGCCCAAGGCTTGCAAGCCACTATCCTGTGCACACACTGTGGCCCTGCCCTTCCCCCCAGGGCCTCATTTCCTACCTGGGCTCTCGAGCCCTGTAGACACAACCTCCTCCACGTTGCTGCCATTGAGATTGGCACGGAGGATCCGGTCCAGGGTGACGTCTGACCAGAAGACGAGCTCGCGCCGGTGGTGGAAATCAAGGGCAATGGCGTTCTCCAGGTTGTTGAGCAGCAACGTGTACTCAGAGCGGTGCGGCAGCACCTGCCGGATGTCGATGCGATTGGCGAACAGTAGCACAGGCTCCGGCCCTGGGACGTGGCATAGAAATGGGGCCCCCACTTGGCTCCAGAGCTGCCCCTGACACCCATCAGCATGCACCCCCAGCTCCTCAGTGGACAAATGGGGCCCCCTGTCCCTGAGGGCATGTCCAGAGCTGCTGGGAGCAGGACTAGAAGAGTGGGAGCCTCCAAAGCATACTCTCCCACACACCCCACCCCAGCAGCGATTTTCTTGGGGCTCAGAATGCAACTCACAGCTCCATTTTACTGAGATGAAAACCCTCTCTACCTGTCAGCAAATCCCCAGGGACCGGAGCCCCCGGATGTCTCCAGGCTCAGCCCTCTGCCCAGCGAGCCGAACGCCAATAGCCCTTACCCAGAGCCTTGCAGCTGCGCCGGTCGGGCCGGAGCTCATAGCCTGCTTCACACCAGCACTGGAAGGCCCCTTCACTGTTGGTGCAGCCCTGGCTGCAATACCCCTCCTCCGCGCATTCATTCACATCTGGGAGGACCGGGCAGGGTCAGGAGATCTCCATTCTGCCATCCTCCCACCCCAACTCCCAGGCTGACTAGTGGCTTCCCTGCCCACATACCCATCTACTCTGCAGGCCTAGTGGGAAGGCTATACAAGTGATTAAGGGCTTCAAGGTCATGGAGACCTAGGCTGGAATCCCAACTCTGCTCTCACCGGCTCTGTGGCCATCAGTAAGTTACTTAACCTCCTGGGCTTCGGTTTTCCCATCTGTGAAACAGACAGGACCATCGCCACCTGCTAGGGGGATGATGAAATGAGGTCGCATCCGTCAAATGTCAGACCCAGGGGAGACACAGCTGTCTGTCCGCTGCCCCTGCCCAGCTCCAAAGCAGGCCCCAGCTCACCCTGGCACATGTGCCCATCCTCGGTGAGCCGGAAGCCTGTGTGGCAGGTACACTGCACCACCCCCCGCACCATCTGGCACTTCTGGGCGCAGCCACCGTTGTTAACATTGCAGTTCTCCTCGCCCGTCCGGGGCCCTGTGCCAGCCAAGCCAGAGATGGGAGTTGAGCCCAGAATCCTCCCCCAGACAGCCAACTTGGCATTCCACCTGGACCACGAAGAACAGCTCCCGAGGCTGCAAGAATCCCTAGGGAGGATTCTCTTTGAACCACATGGGTGGGGTTCAGCCACAGACCAGGGGCCAGGCCCGCCCACTGGGGACACTCACGGCAGTTCTGCTGTGGGCTTTCATCACTGTTGTCCCCGCAGTCGTTGACCCCGTTGCACAGCTTCCGCTGCCCAATGCAGCGCCCGTTCCAGCACAGGAACTGGTCTGAGGCACACTGGGGGCTTCCTAGAGAGTGGGGGAGCAGAGCAGGGTGGGAGGGAGAGGCAGGTCACAGCAGGGCAGGGCTTGGGTCAACAAAAGGATGGGAGCCTGTCATTTTCTAGGGCGAGCTGGAGACAGATGAGATTCAAGGTGGGAGGGTCGGGGTCCAGGGCAGGAAGCAGCTCAGACAGGGCTGGCTGGATGTCTGCATTTGTTCGCTCCTCAGGACACCAGAGTGGAATGGTGAGGGACAGAGGAGAGAGTGCATCCGTGTGTCCTGTACCCGGCAGCATGGCCAGGGCAGTCAGGGGGCTGTCAGCCACAGAGAACAGTCCCCACTCACGAGGCCAGAGCAACAGGCAGGCTGGCTGTGTATGAGTCAGAACGTGAGAGTCTGCTGATGTTGTGTTCCAGGCCATAAGGCTGGGCCGGTAACAGATGCACCTGGATTTGACACTGGTAACTGTGACGGACAGGAAAAATCCAGGCCGTGGGCAAGATCTGACGAAAGCATCCTGTAGCCCAAGGGAATGGCAACAGTGACACCCTCCATCCAGCTGTCCTCCAACCCAACTACGGGTCAAGGGGCCTGGGGCTCCCCCCCGGGGAGACTCCACCTGTGTTCTCACAGTTCTCTTCATCACTGTTGTCGGCACAGTCGTCCTCCCCATCACAGCGCCAGGACAGGCGGACGCAGCGGCCTGACCTGCAGCGGAACTGTTCAGCGGTACACATGGAAGTGGCTGCGCAAAGCAAAGGCCTCATGAATGGTTGGCCCCGTTGCGGCCCGAGGCTCCACCCCGCACTCCATGCCAGCATCCATGCCGCTCTCCTCCTCACCGTTGTTCTGAACTGTGTCTTTGTGCAAATCAGAAAAAAAGACAACCTTTCCCCCAAGACACCTTCTGCTACCCTCAAGAAAACTGCCGGGACACATATACAAATCTCTAGAACTACAGAACGTGTACATCCACTGCGTGACTGGCCTCCCTTTGGACATAGCGCCTCTATGCCGTGCCCAACCCACACCACCATCCACAACAGTCCTGTGCCATCTGTCTTCATCCACGGTGGCTTTTTTGGCTCCACCCTTTGGCCCTGCCCCCACTCACTGCAGTTGCGCTCATCAGATTGGTCATCACAGTCCGCATCGCCATCACAGCGCCAGCCTGCGTTGATGCACAGGCCACTGTCACACATGAACTCCCCCGAGCGGCAGGGCTGGTGGGAGGCTGGGGAAACAGGGCAGACTCCTGTCGCTCGCCAGTCCCAGGACACAGGGTCCAGGGCAGACCAGAAAGCCTGGCCCCAGCATCCAGCTCCCCCGTCTCTGCCTGACAGGAAGCTGAGAATCCGGAAACTCCTACCCTGCCTGAGCTCCTGCCCCAGCTGGCACCTGTGCCTTACCACTCCAGGAGTTCCTCGGACCTGGCCTCCCTCCCTCCGCCTCCACCCTGCTGGCCAGACCACTCACAGCAGTCGGACTCGTCTGACCAGTCCCCGCAATCATCATCCCCGTCGCAGTGGTAGATATCGAGGATGCAGCGGCCGTACGCACACTGGAACTCCTCCAGGTTGCAGGGAGGCGTGGGCACTGCTGAGGCTGGAAGGCAGGCAGGGGTCGGGAGAGGCATACACTCAGGCCCAGACACAGGACAGTGGCCCTGACTCCTCCAGGGGGTGAGATGTTCAGGCAAGGAAAGCGAGTTTCATCTGGGACGGCCCCGATGGACTCCCATGTGCGGGTGGACCGTCGCGAGCCGTCCCTCCGCACCTGGGGAACGGGCTCCCATCCTAGCTCAGCCTCCAAGGTGCGGCTTCTGAAGAGCCCGCCCTCCTGGCCCACTGCGCATGCACCCTGCAGCCTGGCCCTCACGCCCCTGGGATGCCGCCCTCTGCCACCGCCCAGCCCACCAGCCTGGGTTCTGGGGCCACTCACGACAGCTCTCCTCGTCAGAGCCATCTTTGCAGTCGGTGTCACCGTCGCAGTACCAGTGCTCGGCGATGCAGCTTCCGTCACTGCAGCGGAATTCCTTGTCAGAGCACTTGCGCATGTCTGGGGGACGCAACGGGACAGCGATCCTGCAGGAGCCCTACAGGCCGCCCTCCTTCCATCATCCCCAACGCCCCCCCCCTGCCCCTCACCGCCCCTGCGGGTCTGACCCAGCCCCTGCCAGACATCACAGACTTGGTGCAGACTGCGGTGGGGGGAAGCCGCAGTCCTGGCGAGACTGGGCCTCGGGCTCCTGCCCCGCGGTTCCCGGGGGGTCAGCACGGTTCTGCCCCTCAGCCTTCCTCTAGGTGCTCCAGATACCCAGGCAGTTGAGGGTGCAGCAGTGCTAGAGCCGCTGCTGCCCACTGTCCCGGAGGCCACGCCACCGCAGCCGTACCCCCACCCCCACCCCCAGAGCTCCACTCACCACACTGCTCATCGCTGTTGTCACCGCAGTCATTGTCCCCGTCGCAGTGCCACAGGCTCCGGATGCAGTAGCCGTTCTGGCAGGGGAACTCGTCCTCCTCACACTCCCGGGGGGCTGTGGGCACAGAGCAGTCAGGCTGCTGCAGGCCGACAGAAAGCCCCACAGAACGGGGCAGTCGGGCTACCCCAACACTGCCATGAGGGATCTGAAGCAGGGGGCCCTCTCTTGGGCTCATCTAACCAAGAGCTGAAGACCCTAGAGCTGACATGGACCTGGGGCATCATTTTCTGATTGAAAATCCCTTCCTTCCCAGCAGAGCCTGATGGAGCCCGCCTGGCGCCACCGGCACTCACGGCAGTCCTGCTCATCTGAGTCGTCCTCACAGTCATTGTCTCCATCACACACCCAGGAGCGGCGGATGCACTTGCCATTGTCACAGTGAAAGTCAAGAGGAGAACAGGTGGGCAGCACTGAGTCCCGGTAAAAGAAGGCAACAGAGAATCAGAGTCTGGGACACTTACTGAGACAGCCTCACCTGGGCTGGAAACCCTTTGCCAACGCCCGTGACCCCATGTCTCCCCGCGGGAGCTGCAGTCCTTCCTCACAGACTCCCATGCCTGCCCCCGGCTGATGGAGAAGCGAAGCAGAAACCACAGCTGAGAAGCCAGACTATTCGCAGGGAACGGCCACGAGGGGTTCGCAGGGCAGGGCAGACCAAGGAACCCAAAACCACTAAGAGAGCAGTAAGAGAAACATGAGCAAGAAAGAGAGGTGTATTTTTTTTTTCTTTTCCTCCTGTTAAATGATGATTAACATACCTGGGCTCAGTTTTCAGCTCTAGAACTCATTACTTATCACACTGAACGAGTCAGGTACCCTCTCTGAGCCATAGGTTCTCTGACTGTAACAATGGGGGTAATTATACTTGGCTCACAGCGGTCTTTTGAGATAATGCACATGACAGTGCTACATGAAAGTGAGCCATTTATCATCACAATTAGCTGACCCGGTGGGGGTTAACAAGGTCCAAGTTGTAGCTTCACTCTTATTAGACTAATTAGCCACCCTCAGACATAGGTGCTGCAGGTGGCACCCCAGACAACTGGCTCAGGAGCGACAGGTCTAGAGATCCGAGGCAGGATGCCCTAGCCTGTTGTGCATACATTACTGAGCTAGGGGAAAGGAAGATTTAGAGACTATAAGATTTCTTACCAAGTTCCTATTATTGAAAAAGATATGATTATACAGAATACCAGCGTAAGAAATACAGAAATAATCTGCATCCACATGTAGTATGCACATTAAAAAATGCACAAATACGCAGTACAAATATACAAACATATATTCACATAAATACAGAGAGATCTATTTAAAGAGACTGCCTACAGTTTTCAAGGGTGTTTTCTTCCACACTTGTCACAGTTTATTGGTCATATCTGCATGGAAAATGTAGGAAAGACAGGAGGATTGGAGCCATATACGCTGTGAAGAAACCACCCATCTGTCAACATCTGTCACCCTCATAGGAGTCCAACGTGCCAAGTCTGACACGGCCAGTGCACAGAACACTACTCCCTTACACCCTCATCCCTGGGTTCTCTTCTAAGGCTTCCCACCACTGCCTGGGGGCTGGGGGCTGGAGGTGCCTGGTGGGGGAGGGAGGTGCTTACTGCAGCCGTCCTCATCGCTGTGGTCCCCACAGTCGTTGTCCCCGTCACACTGCCACTGCGCAGGGATGCAGGTACACTCGCCGAGGGCGCTCACCGCACACGTGAAGTGGCTCCGACCACAAGCACACTCGGGGCTGCTGGCCAGGCCTGGACAGAGGGGAAAGGAACCAGTGAGGGCTCGGCGCCTGCCCAACCAAAGCCCATTCCAGAGAGTCAAGCAGAGGAGCCTCGTCTAGTGGTCAGGGAGCCACAGGGACTTCCACAGGGAAATGCAGACCATGCAATCATGCCTTCCCCCTTCCTCCAACGCACAAATGGTCAAGAAGATAATCTGTGGCTCTGGATTCATAAGCAGTCCAGGTACCCCCTCTAGGATCGGGGCCTTTTGCCCAGTACCCCCAAGAGACCGGAGATAAACAATGCCACTCAGAGAAACGGTGCTCTTGGGGAAAAGGAGCAGGGGACAGAAAGGGTGATGCAGAGAGAAACTCAGTACCCTTCCCTCCAAAGCTACACTGAAATACGGATGCTTTTGCCTCTGGCCAGGACCAGACCCTTGGATGTCGGCCAGGGAGGGCAAGAAATTGTGGAATTAAAATGCCGGAGCCCCTTCTGGAATAAGGAATCCATACAGGGGACCAGGAAGCAGCACAGGCTGTTGTGAGTCTCCCGATCAGAAGTCAGAACTCACCTTTGAGGAGGGTGACCAGGAGAAGCAGGGTCCCAGGGGGAGGGGACCAGGGCAGAGTGACTGGGACCAGTCAGAGCCTTCTTGTCTGTGGGACAGGCCACAGCCGGGAGGAAGCATCCTTCCTGCAGAAGCAGCCCCTCCCCCAGCCTCAGCAGCACGCAGCTGGGCTTCCCTATTGAGCTTGGAGCTATCTGCCTGGCCAAGTCCCATGACCGGCTGCTGTGCCCCCTCCCCAGCGTGCCCAGCAGGATGCCCTGGGATGGCGTGTGAATGGCTCAGTGCCCCTGCTCCAGCCTCAGCTGGAACAAAGGGTTCTGCCAGGGTCACTCTCTCCCCCTCCGTGCATTCATCTAACCCGCTGGGCTGCTGCAGCTGGGAAAGAAGGGGGCCACCGCTCATTGCTCATCTCTCCCCCTTGCTTTCTTCTCCCCTTCCTCCCCTTAGCTGGGCCCTGCCCTCAGGCTGGGCTGGAACAGGGAAGGAATTAGGGCCCAGAATGAAAGGGTGTACTGCTATCCCCTCCAAAAGCAAGGAGAGAGCCCTGAAGCTGTCCCTCTCCACTTGAACCCCCAAAGGTAAGTGTGAGCATAAGGCATGGATTCTTATCCTAATCTGCAGATGGATGGCTGGATGGCTGGATAGATGGATGGATGGATGGATGGACGGACGGATGGACGGATGGATGGACGGATGGACGGATGGACGGATGGACGGATGGATGGATGGATGGATGGCCAGCATTTGGGATCAGTGAACCACTGAAACTATAGACAAAATGTACATTTCTGGAGTAAAGGACCACAAATTTCACCAGATCCTCAACTGAGACTTCACCTTCCCCTTCCATAAGCGAAGGCAATCAGCTGCCCTAGAAAAGATGCTGGATTTCCTGTGGAAACCAAAGGAATCCTTTTGAGAGGTGCAGCATCTCTACACTTCAGAGGAATGCTTTACTCCAAGCCCAGGGCTCCTGTCTGTCCAGGTCTGTCTGCACGTGCAGGACAGAGGATTCTTCCCCAGGGAAGCACCAAAGACCCATCTGTCCCAGCCCCTACCCCAGCCCCATCCTTTTGGGCCTATTCAGAGAGCACGGAGAAAGGAAGGGGCTTTTTTTCCCTCAGACCCTGAGCAACTTTTGTGACCAGGTCATCACAGCTATGGGTACTACTTTAAGGAGCTCTGGCTGGATGAAACAGCAAAGACTAAATATTCCAAAGGAATATTCAATGGGCTTCCCAGCATGCAGATCCCCTTCACAGGGAGGAATGGTGATGAGGAAAGGTAAGACTAACTCAGTGGTTCTCAATCAGGGATGGTTTGTCCCCCGGGGGGACATCTGGCAATGTGTGACAACATTTTTGGTTGTCATGACTGGCGGTACTTTGGGCACCTAATGGGTAGAAGCCAGGGATGCTGCTGGGCATCCTACAATGTATAGGGCAGGCCCCCACAACAAAGAAATTCTCCAGCCCCAAATGTCAAGAGAGGTCGAGAACACAGCAGGGAGCAAGAATTCCCGTTGGGTGAAGGGGGTGACAACACCAGAGAGGAAGAAGGAAGGTTTGGAGGAGCAAGAGAGGAAAGCAGGAGAGGTCCCCTGGACAGGAGCAGACAGACTGGGCTCCCCTGACCAGCTGTGTGACCTTGTACAAGTCGCTTGGCTCCCTGAGCCTCTGCTTCCTTGTTTGTGAAAAGCCACATGGATTGGACCAGAAGATCAACGTGGACAAAGCTGACCGCGGGCCTTGGCACACTGAAGATGTTCAGTAAATACAGGCTGGGGCCGTAGACTGTTGTGGATGCAGGGGCTAAAGCACCAGGATTAGGAGAGCAAGAACAGCAGGATTGCGGTGCAGTGTGCAAGTTAAAAAAATATTACCGAAGGTAGAGGAGCCTTCAGTCCCTGGTTGATTTTCTTTTTTTTAGGGCCCTACTGCCCGCCTTTGGCTGCACAATAAAAGAAGTCCCGATTTCCCCCCCCAGCAGACTTCAGGAACAAAGCATTCCATCGGGTGGGCACCGAGTTAGTTGCAGGCGGTCCAAGAGTCCCGGCTTCCTGCCTGGCATAGCAGCCGTCATCAGGCAAACCCTGCGCTTGGGCTTTCCTACGGTAAACAGACACATTATACTCCAAAAAGCCAGCTCTCTGGACAACCGCTGCCCCTCTGGGATCCCCGGAGGTAGAATTCTGCCTTTTCACACAAGTCCTGGCTGCGATCAGAAAGGACAGCTTTTAACCCTTTTGAACAAAACAAGTGAAGAAACAGATGAAGGCGGGTGGCATGCTCAGCCTTCACTTTGGAAACTGGTAAGTTAGAGTACTCAGCTATGCTCTTGGCTTGAAAGCTATTTGCCAGCCACACTCCGTTCAGCCTCCAGGGGCTTGGGCCTTTTTGACCCAAAGCAATTCAACAACGGAAAAGATCTCTCCCCAAAGTGTTCCCTACCCTTGATAGGCAAGTCATCCAGTTTTGGGGGATTCATGGGAATGGGCTCATAGGGTCTTCCTGGGAGGTTAACAAAAATCCCACCACTTACACCTTGTCTCCCTTGCCTCAGCCACCTACCCAATTCCTCGCGGCTTTGTTTTGAAGGAAAGAAGGGCAACGTCCATTTGGTGGTATACCAGATGTTTGTGGAACGTTGTGGTGAAGAGCATCGATTGTGGAGTCAGAGAGACTGGAGTTCAAGTCCTGGTTCTACCACCAACTCCACAACTTTGAGCAAGTTGATTAAGGTCTCTGAGCCTCAGTTTCCTCATCTATAAAATGGGAATCCATGTAACCTGCTAGAGAGACTGGAGTTCAAGTCCTGGTTCTACCACCAACTCTACAACTTTGACCAAGTTGATTAAGGTCTCTGAGCCTCAGTTTCCTCATCTATAAAATGCAGATCCATGTAAACTGCTTAGCACAGGACCAGCGCATGGCAAAAGCTTTATAATAATACAACCATAATATTTACTGAGGATGTACTCACCAGGTGCCCTTCAGATACTTTTCTAAGTGCTGTTCTTATGTTACATCACTGAATGCTCTCAACAACCCTGGGAGGTGACACTGCTATTATTGTCACCACTTTACAGAGGTTGAAGACACTGAGACACAGGGAGAAGTCTGTTGCTAGGTCACACAGGTACTAACTAAGGACTGACGCCAGCATTCACACCCAGGCGGACTGATCCCAGAGCCTCTGCTCTTAACCACTTCACTACACTGCCTCCCAAAGAGTGGTATCGCTATTATGAGAATTTCCAAAAAGGGGAGGTCAGAAAGGGGAGTTTACAACACTGAGACTCCTGGATCCCTCTCCCTTATGCATTCTCCATTAGCAAATACACAGTGAGTTTGTGGATCTCAGGCAGTAACCTCTCCTTCTGGTTACTGCTCAGACTAAAGACCAATGTCTCTTGCCTTAAGGTAAAGTAGTGAAGCGGGGATAGTCTGGAGCCCCAGCCGTTTGAACCAGGGCCTCTGTGTTGTGTTGGTCCACAAAGGAACAGGACTTCTGACAACAAATAATAATGTTTTGTAGTAACTCTTTAGAGTTTGCAAGCTACTTTTGCATGCACACTTGCATTCACCTTTAATCATTACAACAACCTCACTGTTGTTGTTACTGCAGTCCCCACTTAATAGGTAAGGTCATCTGCTTTGGCCAAGATCATGGGGTCAGTAGGAGAGCCAGGATGGCAGCCCCATTCTGCCCCTTAGACCAGTATTCTTCTCCTAATGTGATCTCAGAATCTGGATTTGCAACAAGCTTCCCAGAGGACACTGATGCATACTCAAGGTTAGAGAGGCACCACTCTCTACCATCCCAGAGAGAATACTCAGGTGAGGGGGGGGCCACACCTGTCACTTAGAGGCCCACGGTGGACAGTGGCTGTACACAGCTACAGAGCAGCTTTTTCAAGTTGAACCAGGAATGAGAAGGCTTAAGGAGTGTCCTGTGAGTGCTGGGATCAGACGGCTACCAGCGGGGAAGGGATTACAACAGAAAGGGAGGAACCATCATCACTCATATCAAGGATTTTTGTAACACACCAAAGCTCTCCTCTCTCCTCCTGCCCACTGTTGGGAATGGTGAGGATATTAACCTCATTTAATAAGGATAAATTATGTGAAATGAAATAAACTACATCCAGGCCACCCAAGGGACAGATCCACTGATTTCAGCTCCTTGGGCAGCCTATGCAGTCAGTGTCTCTCACTGAAAGGGTTACCCATGGAGCAAGACAAAACTCATAACTAAAAGGAGTGGCAGCAAGGAGCCATGTGGCAATGGATTTCACCTCATCCACAAGATACCTGGAATCGGGAGAGCCCTGGGCACCTATAAACAGCCCCTGTTTCAAAGGACAGAGCTTGCTTAGAAAACATCAGAGCCAACACCAAAAAAGGTAAATGGTGGGCAGAAGGAGGCCAGGAAGTGCACCCTTTCCTGATGCTGCCCT